AGGTTGGAGCTGGGTCTGGATCCTTAAATTTTGGCAGTGAATTTCGTAGCCCGGTGTCTTGGCCGGTGCCGGTGTTGTGTTGCTCACTGATGGGGGCTGACCAGAGCCACGCCTGGGTGAGTCATCTCTCCCCATGGAGGCCACGCTCACACCAGTTCCCAAGAACTGAGAGGGAGGACTCAATTCAAGCTGCTGCACATCCCAGCAGGACTCTCTCCGGGGTGGGGGAGAGGCAGATGCGAGCTGAGACAGCAGCTCAGACAGCTTCATGGAGCACCATCCTCTCCAGGACCTGGGCCAGGCAACAGTGGAGTGTGAGACCCAGCTCTTAAGCCTCTTCATGTCCCTTATGCATTTTCTATCCTCAAATCACAACCTAGAACTCCACCCAGACCTACAGCAAAGGCAGCTGACCTACTGACAGTCTTGGTTGAGCACAAGAAGGTCTACAAGTCATGCAGCGAGTCACAGACGTAAGGAATCTGCAGCTCCTCATCCCCTGCTATCCTTGTTTCACGCAGCATCCAACCAGATTCCTTAAAAAAGTGGAAAAAAACCCCATAATGCCATGAAAAAGCACAAGTTCTAGGCTGCTGCTTATCCTCGTGTCATAGAATCAGAGAATGGTTAGAGTTGGAAGGGACCTTTGAGATCATCAAGTCCAACCAAAAAAAAAAACCAAAACAAAAAAAAAGACCCACAAACAGACACAACCCGACAATCTTGGGCACTAGATCATACCCTGAAGAGCCACGTCTACACATTTCTTAAATCCCTCTAGGGATGGGGACTCCACCACCTCCCTGGGCAGGCTGTTCCAGTGCATGACCATCCTCTCAGGAAAGTCATTCTTCCTGATATCTAATCTAATCCTACCCTGCTGCAACCTTAGACCATTTCCTCTGCTCCTGTCATTATTCCCTTGGGAGAAGTGATGGATATACCATATCCAGAGGGGGTGTAACCCCCTGGAAGCTGTTATTCTGCCTGGGAGGGGGCATGTATTACACCCAGCCATGTCGTTAAGGGCAAATTCCTCCGCTCAGCTCTTGTGAAACCAACGCTTCTGCAGCAGGAGCAGAAACAGTCCCTTCCCTATGTTTCCTGAGCAGCCCCTTCCAAGGAAGGGTGCTGTTGGCCTCTGGAAGTGTTGCCATTGGAGCTGCTGAGGTGATGGATGCTGTTTCCCCGCACACGGCGTAGCTGGAGGCCAGCGATGCTTCTCTCTCTCAGCACATCCCAGCCCTGGCTGTGCTCCTCCATTGTCAGGAACTGGGAACAGAGACCATTTTCCTTTACGCTCCTCCCGGCGGGTGCTGGTTGCAATTCTTTTCCTTGCCAGGACAATCTGAATAGTGGCTTTTTGATGAGATCTGTCCTGTGCTCGGCGTTCGTTAAAAGTCTTTTATTGACGGATGGTTCTGGGAGGCACTTTCCATTCCAGTCTTCCCTTCTTCTAAACTAATGAAAACCCATTCATCACCAGCTATTTCCACAAATGCCCTAAATCTGCGGTTAGCGATGAGGCGGCCCTGCTGTAGGCTAATTCCATCTGCCCTGCTCCAGTGAGGAGTTAAAAAGGGCTTCCCTTGTGTTTCGGAAGAGCAGTGCTCCAACACCTCCCCACCACCCCCTTTCCAACCCTCGTCCCTTCCCCATTTGTGCTTCTCTTCCTTCAAAAGGGGAAAATCTTGTCTTACAAAAAAGGGCCAGGCTGCAGTTTGCTGTATGCTTCTGTCTCAGGGTAACTATTACTGTCAGCAACCAAATAACAGCGGCTTCCTCGCTGGAGGAGAAACGCTACTGATTGCAGGTACCTTGAGAGACCTAATTCTTTTGGCAAATTAGGATCTTAATTATTCATAGAAAGCCTAGACAGAACATTAATAAAGGGAACAGGGGGGGAAATGGTTCACGTATGAGATCAGGATGAACAAATATAAAAATAATCTTGCAGCATTTCCCTCTTTGCACAACGTTTGATGAACGGCAGCGAGGTGTGAGTCTCTGCTCAGGGTCCAGACCCGAGACAAGGTCCTTCTGACCAGCTCAGCCAAAGAATCATGGAATTGTTGGAGTTGGAAGGGACCTTCTAGAGATCATCC